TTTATCAATAGATGACCATAGCTGTCAATGTAGTTGCCGTCAGACGGCGCCATTGACGCTATTTCCTTGTTCTGACATCTGACAAAGATTTTCAACTCACAACAATACAAGTTTCATACAACGATAGAGTTTGTAATAGCGTTGAACATATCGAATTTTGTGCCTGGAAACTATGATTTGTGGACAGCATTGATTTTCTGTTACCATTTGAAGAAAACTGCAGAATCGCATCGAATGCTTGTCGAAGCTTACGGTCAGCATGCTCTTGGTAAATCACTTTGAATGGTTTAAAAAATTCAAAAGTGGCAATTTTGACGTGAGAAACGAAGAACGGAAAGCCACCGAAAAAGTTTGAAGACGAATTGCAAGCATTGGATGAGGATGACGCTCAAACTCAACAACAACTCGCGGATCAATTGAATGTGACACGAGAAACCATCTCCATAGATTTGAAATCCATGGGAAAGATCCAGAAGATGGGAAAATGGATTCCACATGAACTAAATGAAAGACAGCAGGAAAACCGAAAAACCACTTGCGAAATGCTGCTCGCCAGATACAAAAGAAAATCATTTCTCCATCGAATTGTGACTGGCGATGAAAAGTGGATATATTTTGAGAATCCTAAGTGTAAAAAATCATGGGTAATTCCAGGCGAATCACCGACATCGACTGCAAGGCCAAATCGCTATGGACAGACAATGCTCTGTGTTTGATGGGATCAGAAAGGTGTGATCTATTATGAGCTGCTAAAACCTGGCGAAACCGTTAATATTGAATGCTACCGACAACAAATGATCAATTTGAATCAAGCTTTGTGTGAAAAACGATCGGAATATCAAAAAAGGCAATACAAAATTTTGCTTCATGATAATGCACTATCACACACAGCAAAACTGGTCAAGGAAACGATTGAGGCACTTGGTTGGGAAACTTTCGCATGCGGCTTACTCACTAGACTTGGCTCTGTCCGATTACCACTTATTTGCATCGATGGGACACGCACTTGCTCAGCAGCGCTTCACTTCTTACGAAGATGTACGAAAATGGCTAGATGACTGGTTTGGCTCAAAAGAGCAACAATTTTTTTGGCATGACATCCACAAATTGTCAAATAGGTGGAAAAAATGTATAGCTATCGATGGGCAATACTTTGAATAAAATATTTTTTATCATTTTCATGCAATAAATGTGTATTTTCTATAAAAAAATTCCAGTTTCATATTTACATATGCGTGAATGTAATGTCCAGATTCTGTGTAAGGACTCTAATCCTATCTATATAGGTTTCCAAGTATAGGAAAATATTACACATATGGGAAAAATCTTATTTAAAATATATTCAGTTCTCAAGAAATTCGCAATTTAATTTAATTTAATTTTAATTCTGACACTTATACAGGGTGTCTCTTAAGATGAGTCGGAGTCACATTCGGGGCAGAGAATGGATCAAAGGGAACAAAAAATTCTTATACTGTTTTGAGATATTCGCTGTAGTTTTCGAATTAAAAAAGGAAATGTCTAAGCCAATATGCGGTTAAGCCGCGCCGCGCGAATTCGTAGGACGGCCCACTCGAGCAGCGGCAATGGCGGCGCGCAGAAAGGGGGAAGTAGTGCTTCGTTGCTTAGCACAGCCTGACATGGCGATCCTATGTGTTTTGCCGCATCGCACCTACGCGCATTATCCAAAAATGTTATTTTAGCTGAAGTTTTTCTTATCATTATAAATCACGTTTTTTAGCACGATTAAATACGTTTTAATACAATTATAAATATGTTAAGCGATGTAATTAGAGCATGCATTACGCATGCGTGCTAATCGTCGCAATAACTTTCCGCTTCGTTTATTATACGATATTTCTATTTAATTACACTTCGAGACACACTTCGTCGGAGCTATCACATCGTTATGCTATATTTAGTCGGAGTTTTATTTTTTAACATATTAATGCATACACTTGAAATTATAAGCTCGCGTAGATAACCGCTACATTGTGAATCCAGATGTATTATTTTTCCATGTATAATGATGCATTTGACTGAGGTTTTTTTCATATGTTTCTTGCCGTTTAACAAGTTTAATTGTACACCATTAATTGTACACATTAAAAACGTTCTTAAATTTTATTAAGTTTTAATGTTCACTGATGAATAAAATTTAAATTTTCTGTCACTCAAAAGATTATTTATGTATACGTTAATGAGATGTTTAAGTTTGTAGTAACTGAAAATTAAATGTATTGAAAAACACTAATTAAAAATTGAGTGTTTTAATTTATTTTCATTAAACTATCAAATTTAATGCCCATGTTCATTACATTAAAAAAAATCTGTAACTTACAAGGAAAGGGACTCAACTGTCCCTCTCCGATTTTAATGAGCAATATGTTATTCTCCAAAAAATTTCAGCTAAAATAACAGTTTTGGATAATGTAGGCGCGATGCAGCAAAATACATAGGATCGCCATGCCGAACTATGCTAGGTAACGAAGCGTTACTTCCTTCTCCCTGCGCGCCGCCGCTCGAGTGTGGGCCGTCCTACGAATTCGCGCGGCGCGGTTTAATCGCATATTGGCTTAGACGTTTCCTTTTCTAATTCGAAAACTACAGTGAGTACCTCAAAATAGTATAAGAATTTTTTGTTCCCTTTGATCCCGTCCCCAATGTGCCTTCGACCCTTCTTAAGAGATATTCTGTATATTGTGCCGAGATTGCAATTTCTCTCTCTCTCTCTCTCTCTCTCTCTCTCTCTCTCTCTCTCTCTCTCTCTCTCTCTCTTTCTCTGGTGTCATGGCGTTCTGTGTGCGGACCTTTTATAAGGGATAGATTTTAAGTTAGTACTCAATAAGATTAATCATCTCTTTATGTTCATTGTGAGATCGACATCGGTTACTGCTCATGTCATTAGGTAATTGCTCGCGTCATCAGATAAATATGCTTATATTGTATTGTAGATTTTCTTAATTTCTCGTATTTTAACCTAATAATGCGATACCGATATCCGAGCCATCATACGCACACAATCATGTCTCTACTTTTGTAAACTGTACATTCCAGTTAATATTAGTCGATTCCGTCCTGAAGAAAGTCGGGACGAACATGCCACCTCACCCTCAAAGGTATATACGCTTCAGATTACTATTCTATCATCCAGTGAAATCGCTCCGAGAAGGGCGATGGAGAAAACCAGCAGCGCTTGCAGGGCATTTCTGCAGGAATGAGCAGTTTCATCGCGAAACTTCGAGGCATCTTGCGCCCACGAGGAACCACCTACTTATTTGCGTCTCGTCTTCAGACGCACACTCTGGAAGGATAAGGATAGGGATTAGGATTAGAATTAAAATTAGAATTAGGATTGACTTATCCATAATGTTGAGACAATCAAGTAATTAGATTACCTCCTATCTTATCGGAATAAATCAACTCTATGTGGGCGCCGGCAAACTCGAACTCGGAACAGTAGGTCACGTGTTGAACGCGTATAACCTCCGACGCCCAAATGTATGTTCTAAACAATCATTTGAGTTTGTATTAAACTGCCTTATGGCATATGAATCAGAATCAATTTATTTGCAAATTTAACGATTTCCCGCCAATTGTCCTCCGTTAGTCATCACCGACGCCTAGACACGCTCGGCGCCACATTGGGCACAGCAATCGCAACATAGTCACATGCTGCTGCGCACTTATTGCCCTCTAATCAAGTGGATGTAAACATAGCAACGTCCACTTTTCTTAGGATACATCATTCATTTTTGAAGGCTGGAGATGATAAATCGATATTTGGTTCATATAGGATTACTTTCATTTTAATTTATATATTAACTTATATAGCAAGATTTCTCTTTGATAGTTATTTGTTAATAACTTATTTTTGTATTCAATATAATATGTGAAATAATATAGTATGTGAAATTACAGTTAATTATAATTAATGAAATATGTTTAAGTCTTCAGTTCACACTTTTTTTCCGACATCAACTTCCACCAAGTTGGAATTCTCCAAAGTTACTAGGCCCATTAAGTTAATCGGAACTTGGTAAAAATGGTTCATAATCGTGTTACATATAACTATATGTATATACACACAAACACACACACACACACATATATATATATATATATACACACACACACATATAGCTAAGAAAAATGGACGTTACTATGTAGTTTACATCCATTTTGTCAGAGGGCAGAAATGTGCGGTAGCATTTTGCGGTTACAGATTTTGCCATCATGTTCTCTTTCAGGTTTTTCTCTGATGTTATTCTTAACATGATGAATGCCTGAAATATATATAAGATATCTTATGATTAAACATCTGGGATTACCTTTCTTGCTTATCTTTAATAACACTTCTCGTTGACTTATTTACTTATTTATATTATTACCTGTGTAAAAAAGTTTACAAAGTATATTTTCTTATTGGCAAATAAAAGTAATTACACTTTTTCAAAATTATAACTTATCTGATATATTGAAGGCTTTAATCCGCTTTCTTTTAATTAGTTTTGGCTTAACAGCCAAGTTGACTCTGAGTCGATTAGTTTCTAGATTGAAAAATGGATATCCATAAGTGGACTTTAGATAACTTGGAGACATCTCTAAGTCATACGATGTTCCACTTTAAAGTCGATTTTAAGTCAACCATTATACAGATATTCTAGGATGTAGCGCGAATGTGCATCTTGCAATGGCGGAAATATTTAAATCGGGAAAATCTATATCTAAATTATATTTTTCTTACGGTATTTTCTGTTGGGACTGCACTCATTCAGTGTTTCTATAAGAACGTGTTCAAATTTGCACTGCCTTCGTGCAAATATATATAATATATAATTTTAACAGTATATACTCTTATGGAAACACTACTGCGCAATCCCAAGAAAAAATATCGTTAGACTATTATTTATAAAAATTAAATTATTACTCTAAAAAATATATAGATATTTATTATTTGTA